GCTGCTAGATGGTAGTTGGTGTGAACTGTCAACATTTTTAGTAGTGATTAGATTATGGTCATTTCACTGTTGTATTTGTTTTAACTGTTAAATCAATTTTTAGCAAATGATTGTGTAGTTTAAGTGCACTAAGACACTTAGTAATATGGGTCACAATTTGCAGTGAACCTTCAACAGAAATTGTTAACAGTTCAAAAACGGTAGAAAGGCAGGCAGTGTTAGACAGTCGTTTGGCTTTAACTCAATATTCAGTACCAAAGGGCATTCATGATAATAGAAAAGATTAAGCGAATAAGTTTCAAGTCACGTAGCAAATACCAAATATTTAGGCCAATCAATTGAAATGCAGCTGTCAGAATTTTTAATTTCTCTTGATTTCTAGCATTACATGGTCCTTAAAAGTGTGACCAATGAGTTCCTATCTCACTACTTACTTGACTGATGTAACATGTCACCGGTTGGTACTAGAATGCTGGTCCGTTCAAATCAACATTAGTCTCTAGTGAAGATAGAAACAGAGAGAAAATTATATGATCTGTTTATATCCCGAATCAGCTGGAGTTATAAAATTATACCAGTGAGTCAATAATATCATGCTCACTGCGATAATTAAAATGTCGGTGCTTACTATCGTACAACGTATTGAGTGCTGTTAAATTTCAAATCAGATCAAAAAGTGTATCCACTACATCACCTGTTTAGGTGGTAGCCAGAGTGATGATGATTCCTAGTGAAAATCAAGTTTAGACTGATCAGAACATCTGAAAAATTGCTCAAATAAGGCGGACTATTGACTTAGTATTGTTTGTTTGGATCTTCCCATTGATGTTTTTAGGACTGTAACTGGTCAGTCTCTAATTGGCATATGTGCATACTGTGCGTATTGCCTCGATATAGTCTAAATTCACAAGCATTGTAAGCAAAGATGGATAGTGGCTAGCAGTGGAATCCAGGACGCGCGTTTCGTCCTATTTGGGACTCGCCAGCTGGATGCACTTGCATCTCAGAGTTGGTGTTCACTCCGGGAATCGAACCCAGTACCTTTCGCTTTAAACGCTAGTATGCACATATGTCAATTAAAGACCGAACAGTTGCAGTCCTAAAAAGATCAATGGGAAGACCCAAACAAACAATACTAAGTGAATTCAAACTTCACCCCATTGCACAAGCAAGTGGCGATCAGGACTCAGCGGCCGAGTGGATAACGCGATAGCGTTTGAAGCGAAAGGTGCTGAGTTCGAGTCCCAGAGTGGACATCAACTCTGAGATGCAAGTGCATCCAGCTGGCGAGTTTTGTGGAACTTATCACTATACGTCAACTTCACTGACTATGAGAAAGTCTTTGACAGTGTGAACAGGAGAACACTATGGAAACTTCTTCGACACTATGGAGTTCCTGAAAAGATTGTCAACATTATCCAGAACTCATACGACGGACTACAGTGCAAAGTCATGCATGGAGGACAGCTGACAGATGCATTTCCAGTAAGGACCGGAGTCAGACAAAGCTGTTTACTCTCCCATTTTTCTTCCTTCTTGTGATTGACTGGATTATGAAGAATTCGACATCTGATGGGAAATACGGAATACAATGGACTTCTCAGAATCTATTAGATGATTTGGACTTCGCAGATGACCTAGCCCTCCTATCTCATGCACACGAACAAATGCAGATGAGGACAGCAAATGTAGCAGCAGCCTCCGCATCGATAGGCCTCCACATTCACAAAAGAAAAAGCAAGGTTCTCAAATGCAACACGGAGAACACCGACCCAATCACACTTGATGGCGAAACTCTGGAAGAGGTGGAAACATTCAAGTACCTGGGGAGCATCGTTGATAAACAAGGAGGATCGGATGCAGATGTAAAGGCAAGGATTGGCAGAGCAAGGGCAGCATTTCTACAATTGCAGAACATATGGAACTCAAAACAACTCTCAACCAAGTTCAAGGTCAGAATCTTCAATGTGAACGTCAAGACAGTCCTACTGTATGGAGCTGAAACGTGGAGAACTACTACGACCATCATCAGGATTGTACAAGTATTTATAAACAGTTGTCTACGCAAAATACTCAACATCCATTGGCCAGATACTATCAGCAACAGCGTTTTATGGGAGAGGACAAACCAGCAGGTTCCAGCTGAAGAGGAAATTAGGAAAAGACGTTGGAAGTGAATCGGACATATATTAAGGAAATCACCAATGTGCATCACGACTCAATCCCTAACTTGGAATCCTGAAGGGAAGCGGAAAAGAGGAAGGTCAAAGAACACACTACGGCGGGAAATAGAAGCAGATATGAAAAGGATGAATAACAACTGGAAGGAACTGGAAAGGAAAGATCAGGACAGAGTTGGATGGAGAATGCTGATGAGCCGCCTATACTCCTCGACGAGGAGTAACAGGCGTAAGTAAGTAAGTAATGAAGTTTTTCATGCTATTCACTAATCACAATTATATCAAGTTAATTATACAACAACGAAATTTGCTTGGCCGTATTCAAGATTTTAACTATTTATATCTATTAATTTTTAGAATCTGGCAAAATTATTGAACCATCTGTGTTTTGCATGTTGAATACTTTTTTAAAGATTGGTTCAATCGCCAATATAAACAGGCAGTCATAGAATTTATGTTTATTGGTTAATTAGTCACGTGGTTAGTGTTGAAGGAAAAACAATTTATAATTTTATTGCAAAGTAAGATGAAGTGCAATCAGTCTTTATTTCAAATCTAGGAGACTCGATTAGCGTCAAAGTGAATATCCTCACCAGGCTTAGCAAATAATCATATTATTATTAATAATCTATCTTACCACCCAGATTTTCATTCACCATACAACCTCAGTACGTTATGAGATTTAGTAATTTTCTGTTTTGAGGTTCTTTTAAACTAATATCAAAGCATGGTAATGACTACTCCTAAAACACAATACAGTTCATTTTGTTCCAAACTGTTAAGGAATTTTGTGTTAATACACAGAAAGTGGTTGTTTATATTTTCAAAAAGTCAAATACCTTTGTAAGTTTTAACTAGGTGCCCATTGTGATGTTTGATAGACTAAATAACAATGTTCAGTGTAGCAAACAGAATCATTTCCTTAGCATTGTTTTTTACAATTAGTTAGTATATCCGACGTACACTTTAATGTAGACCTTAATACTAAGTTTTCAACGTTCGTAATCAATATTAACAGAATTATTGGATTTATTTCATATTCAAGTGCTTATTTCTTCTTATTAGAATGAGGGTTTGTTGTGATTGTAATAATTTTTAAAAAAAAAAGTTGAATTCACAAGTCAATCTAGGCTAGACCACTATTAACAACATGAAAGCACTAAATGGTCATTTCGTCTCAGTATGGGACTGCTCATTGATGGACATCTATGATCTCTTTCTTGTGAACTTCTATAAACTATATATACCATTTCTATTAACTAAAAATTTACTATTTCAGTAAAGTTTCCAAAACTTATGGATTATATCTAAAACAATTACAGAATTTTTACTTTCACTCGTTCAATGTACATTTGGACTGGGGTTGTTTTTTTTCTGGGTACTAAGAAAAAAAAAAGTGAAGTACTTCTTATTTATACTACAGTTTATGGTATTTAATGTTAAAGTTGTTTCTATTTGTATTTTACTATTGAAGATTAATTTGTTAAGGGGTTTTATCTCTGTCAAACTTGAATTAATTTACATCATATTATTTTCTAAGGGCAATGAAGTGAATGAATAATGTGATGTTATATAAGATATATCAAAACAGATTATCCTTTTCTTTTCTTTTTTTTTTTTTTAAAAAAATCTTCCCTTCTCTTAAATAAAATTTATAGGTTATTTTCTGCACATACACATTTATTTTAGGTCACTATAATGAATGAAAATGATCAATGATAGATCAATAAATATTCATTCCCTTTAGATTTGTATACTGGGTGGGAGGATGTTTCTAGAATGAATATACACATAAAATATTGATTAGCACAAAAATGTAACATATTTTGTAGTAATGCAGAAAAAGTCAGGAAAATTAACTGTAGGTTAAATTTAGATGGGATTTTTTTTTATTTTTTATTTCAATCGATTTATCATTCATTTTTATATATGCACCAAGAGAGATAGAAAGATACAAAGAAAAACAACATATGTATATATAGGTTGTTAGATAGATATGAATGTACTTATGTTACTGTTGTTATGTAGGTGTTATGGGATAAATAACCATAATTGGTTACTTATGTATGTTATAGTAATAAATTCTATGTGTGCTGCTAATTCAGTTTTAAAAAAAAAATAGTATAGAAAACAAGGTTCAGCAACTGTCTATATATATTTTAATCTTTACACAAATATTTAATATCACATTGATATTTCGATAAATTTAGTTGTACAAAGATTACTGGGTAAGTGTTGGTTGTGTAGTATTTATTATATGATAGTTACTAATTAAGATATTTGTTTTGGTAAGCATAATTGAATGATCTTAGTCGCATATTATAATGGAATGAAAGAAAGTATTGAAGAGTATTCTCTACCATAGAACTAAGCAATATATTCACTGGCCCTTGAATTTTAAGCAGCTTTCAAATCATAGTTAGAAGGGGTTTTGTGGAGATTTCAGTATTCTTCATAGTTGAAATCATTAGTTAATTGGAGCTAGACTACCATGCGAAACCTGGAAGCACTGGACGGCCGTTTCTTCCCGGTATGGGACTCCTCTGCAGTGCGCATCCACGATCCCGCACTCGCGAGATTCGAACTCAGGACTTACCAGTCTCGCTCCAGAGCACTTAACCGATAGACCACTGAGACGGCCGGCATCCAACGGTGTTAATGTCTAACTTCAACCAATCCACGAAGTTTGAGCAACCGTTCACCAATCATAATTACTTTTTAGTATAAGAGGTTCTATTTTCCTATGCATATTCTAGCATAGTTTTCTTGTTTCAACATTAAAATTTTTATTATTGTATACCTAATTACCAGTACGTATATCTCGGATAATTGCATGCTGTTGATTAAGATGGTAGATATTATTGACTTGGTTTAGATAACACTTCTTTGGGAAAGATGTATGAACCTAGAATACATAGTATTACTGAATTTTGCTGAAGCTGTTGTTATGTGACAATTGATTGAATTAACACAGAAGATATGAGAATAAATAGTGATTGATTCATGGATATGCTTACTAGGCGTTTAGTACTTACCAAAAGGATGAAACTTGAAAGATACCTGTGTTAAACTTGCATCTCGTGATACGACAGTGTTATGCTGCACAAGCTGAATGCTAAACAAAATCAGAAAATCTTTCATTCCTCTATTCAGACAATTATTTCGAAGTATACTTCAAAGAAAGTCACATTGTATAAGGAAAATCTATAATATTGCTTTTTTGAAAGTTGATATTGACTATTTTATTTGTTGCCTAACAGGATGAGGAGAACGATTTCATAGTGGAAATATGATATCATGACCAGTATCTAAATACTTTTCATCAACCGTTACACCAGCTTTTTAAACTGACAGTAAAGGTTATATGGGCAAATCTTCCAGTAATTGTTTGGTGGTTATGGAGCCACACTTGTTTATTTCATTTACATCACATGATTCTATGCAATATGTTAGTAGGACAAGTTTACATTACTTGTTGATTTCCGCTTAATCTGCAATAGGGTAATTCTCATATCGATAAAGTAAAAATTACTCCGGAATACATCCTTGATAATTGGATTTGATTGTTTACTATTGAATGTTATTTAGATATCGAAGTAAATGATAACAGACTTTTGAAATGTGCGCTTATTTTCAATCAGTTTTCATAATGAAACTATAGTCAACGTTTAGAAGTGTAGGTTTTTAAATTTAGTCAGCTATATACAACCATCGAATAGTAATTAGTGGTTTAAAGTTGAAATATTGTATATCATGAATTACTGAAAGTGTAAACTTGGTAAAGGAGCTTTTAATCCAATGAATCAATAATAAATCAATACAAAAGAACTTCCCTTTCTCTGATGTTCCAAGATCTCCAGTAATCGATATCACTATCCATTGGTTAGCAAAAATCAATAGTTTAATATATTTCTAAATGTCAATATTGGTCTATTTTCTTTTTTACAGAATCTTTTTTGGGAAGAAACTTTCGATATTTTGAATACAAATTTAATCTAGACTTACAAAATGTCAGACGATGAACAGAGGTAAGTAATAAATAAAATGAAATCTATTGAAAATTTATATTTCCAAATGATGTTTGTGTTTTATTCGTTGAAAAAACGACTTTTTCATTTGTATGTTATCATAAAGGAATCTAACTTTTTCGGGTAGTATAAAGTTTCTTTGCCTAGACTGTTTCATAACTAAGGTTTTGATTTTGCACTGGTTACAAACTTAGTATGTAGCTTCATATGGAATTGAACCTAGTCAATACCATTTATCGTAACTCAAGTTTATACCCAGGACAGAGTTCGATGGAGAATCCTGGTGAGCAACCTATGCTCGTCCACGAGGGGTAAGAGGCGTAATTAATTAAATAAGTTTTTGACTTGGAAAAATATAAGCCTAGTTGTTAGAGATGTAGGTAAGTGAAATTATAGTGATAGGATTTTATAAAACCTGACTGAATATTGTGTTATAACTTTTAAAGCTAGTAAAAAACTAAACTCAGAACTTTTTAACTCTTCGTATTAAATTAGCTAAATTTGGTTCACAATGATGAAGTTCTCTAAATTACTAAATAATTAGAACTGGTGTTAATGTTCTTTTATGATGGCTTCTTTACTGTATAGTCACCATCAAATTCGAAGAGAAGATTAAAGGATACTAATGTGATTACATTATACAAAACAGCAGTATATATAGTGTAGTTTATATATAATTTAATTGTTTTCTTCTTATTGACTTCTTAGTTGAACATAACCTAAAGTAGATTTTAGCCGGTAGTCCATTGAATACTTAGAGGTGTATAATAGTTGAAGGAAATCAAATTTTGTTTAGGGAACAACTCATTTTGAGGATATCGATGAGTGTTAGCAAGTATTTAATCCAAATGTAGGACTTATTGTCGATTAAATTTACTCACTAAACACTAACTCCAGCATACTTCATTATAAATTGACTTGACATAGGAGGAATGATTTCGGCATGATAGTCAGAATACGATAAACATTAAAATTTGAAATAAAATAAGTTAGCACTTGTACTCGTTTCTAACACATAAATAACTCATTTGATATTAGTAACCTATTAACATGATTTGATTGTCATGTTATCGAGTTAATCATAACCGAAACATAATAGTGTTAAATATTCTAATGACAGCCGAATACAACAAATGTCTGACTGTCAGGGATTTGTTGTAAGCACTTCTGAGGCTAAAACTGCTTAGAGTGGATTGGTTTCAATAAACAGTAACTGCAAGATATGAGCTTTCTAGAAGCTCTATAGAACTATTGAAAATCAGCTTTTTTAATTTATTCAGTAAACATTTATGTTGATCAAAGATGGATAGTGGCTAGGAGTGGAATCCAGGGAAGATTCAAACAAACAATACTAAGTAAATTCAAACTTCATCCCATTGCACAAGCAAGTGGCTATCAGGACTCAATAGCTGAGTAGATAACGTGATGGCGTTTGAAGCGATAGATACTGGATTCGAGTCCCAGAGTGAACATCAATTTTGAGATGCAGGTACATCCAGCTGACGAGTCCTAAATAGGACGAAATGCGCGTTCTGGATTCCACTGCTAACCACTAACCATCTTTCCTTATAATGCCTGTGAATTAAGGCAATGTCGAGGCGATCCTCACAGTATGCACATATGGCCAATAAGAGACTGCCCAGTTGCAGTCCTAAACATCAATGGGAAGATTCAAACAAACATTACTAAGTGAATTTATGTTGATCATTCATTTTGTAAACCCTTACATTATTGACACTGATTGTTATAATGAGTATGAAGTTAATGATTTATGATGAAGAAAACTACAAGGGATAAAACTAATTAACTAATACCTTTTACTCACATCTTAGTTTTTATTCCAAACAACCATTTAGCATTATCCATTGAGGAAATATCTGGTCCCTATTGCTAATAAGTTTCCATCAAATGAAGAGCTTCGTGGTATTATTGGTGACTACGATATTAGATGAAATAGGTTTGAACCTATAAGAAAGTATCAGGTCGCTTACAATTACCCCGTATTACTTAGTATGTTTATTTGTTAGGAGGTTGAAATATATGAAAGAAATCAATTGATTTGCCCTTTTTTTGGCAATGCTTACCATGTATTTATTTTAATATAATTATTTATTAATAAACAAAATGTTGTTGATCTCCTGTCACACTTACTGCTAGTTAACAACTGTTCATCGTCTATCTACTTTTATTATTACTACCATTAGCCCACAACCATCTCCAGCATTCATTCCCAAGTACGTTAAATACTTGATTTTCATCATCTACTACCTATCCCACCCATTTTTCTTTATTTCACTTCCCACTAAATGAACAAATATGAATGTGTGAATGTATGAATGTTTATACATAGTGAAAACTTGGTTGATAAATGTATGTCTACAAAAAAAAAAGATTCTGTTTAATTATTGTATTAAGTATTCGTGTTAGGTTTTTTATACCCTGCAACCCACAACAATCTCTTTCTTCCCATTTAAAAAAGTTCTTCACCTTAAAGCATGCTTATCTGACATGAAAATACCTTGACTATGTTGAGTAATTTTCTGTTCATTATTAAAAAGTTTATAAGAAATATTTATTGGTAATGTTATTCAAATTGTATTTATCCACATTTTATCGAAGAAAGATTCCTTTCAAAGTTAGTTATGAACTCACTCTTGACATATCACTGAACTTTAGTATGTGGAAACATGACATCATGACTTTGGAAGATTGACTATGTATGAGGTTGATTCAAGTAAAAAAATCATGCCTCGTAAGATAAATGATGAAGTCAGAAGGGGTTTTGTGGAGATTTCAGTATGTTCATAGTTGAAATCATGAGTCAATTGAAGGTAGACCACCATGGAAAACCTGGAAGCACTGGACGGTCGTTTCGTCCTATTATGGGACTCCTCAGTAAGATACATGTCCCGGGGTTCTAGTGAGAAGCAGTGACCAGTGGAGTTCATCCACGTCTGTTGTGAGATAACAACTCATTGAAGATAAATGGTGAACGGTTGCTCAAACTTCGTGGATTGGTTAAAGTTTGACATTAACACCGTTGGATTCCGGCTCAGCTCAGTGGTCAATCTGTTAAGTGCTCTGGAGCGAGACTGGTAAGTCCTGAGTTCGAATCTCGCGAGGCAATATCGTGGATACGCACTGCTGAGGAGTCCCATACTGGGAAGAAACGGTCGTCCTGTTCTTCCAGGTTTTCCATGGTGGTCTAGCTTCAATTGACTCATGATTTCAACTATGAAAATGATAAAGCCTTGTAGAAGGTAATTTATTTGTTGAAAACATCACTTCGTGATAGTGTAAATTTCACCTTTTTGTTTGACTGAAATTCATATTTTTATTTTATTCGGTCATCTTGTTGACTTTCAATATTTATCTACCTATTGTGGATAAATATTTAGAATAAGTAGTTATATGAGGAAATAGTTATTTCCTAATATATACTGAAGTAAACAGAAAGCTTATTCCAATGGTCAACTTATGGAATGTAGATTCTACACATGTTATCAAAATGTTTAAATATCATACTGATTAAATGATTTCGGGTTATATGCAAACAAATATTTCAGTTACATTAGTTCCATCAAATAGTTACTAGTTTAATAGTAACTTCTTGTATATCCGGGTAATATGAATAAGACTAATGCTTCATGAATGTTCAACGTTATACTTCTGAATGGAATTCTCAGAAAACATGCCAGATGTTTGTATGGAATAGTGACTATTCCTAACGGAGTAAGAATGATCAACTTATTTTACAGAGACAAAGCATCCACTTAACATTAATTTATTTCCAAAGTCTTAGGAAGTGAAATATAAGAAAGTGAACTGATTTAAGATTTGTCAGTACTGAAGAATTATTCTTTCTATAACCAATTTACTTGATTGAATGATTCATATACACACACAATAATTCTGTTTCATTATCAGTTGTTCATTAGTTAATATAAGTATCTAACATTTGATAGTGATAATTTTAAGTCACAAAATCAAGATCATATGTCAAAATAGGATTTCAGTGTTGATAGGTTATTCGACAAGGAAATTAAACTAGTTCATCGTGACATATTTGTTAGACATTATACGAATGTATACTGTATGACAAATTAAATCTATATGTTTGTTTGTAAGCAAAGATGGATAGTGGCTAGCAGTGGAACCCAGAAAGCGCGTTTCGTCCCATTTCGGACTCGTCAGCTGGATGTACCTGCATCTCAGAGTTTATGTTCACTCTGGGATTCGAACCCAGTAACTTTCACTTCAAGCGCCATTGCGTTATCCACGCAGCTAGGACGAAACGCGCGTCCTAAATTCCACTCCTAGCCACTATCCATCTTTGCTTACAATGCTTGTGAATTAAGGCAATATCGAGGCAATACGCACAGTATGCACATACGCCAATTAGAGACTGTCCAGTTGCAGTCCTAAAAATCAATGGGAAGATTCAAACAAACAATACTAAGTGGACTTAAATGTTTGTTTGTTTTTCACTAGTAGTGATTCTCTTCTCTTGTAATCTTACCCACCATTTACATTATTCACTAAATAACTTAAATATCTAACTGGAATAAGGTAACATCATTTTGTTTTTAAAGCAACAATACACAATCTCTCATATGAACTAACAATTCAAAAAGTCATCGGTCAGAATATACCAGGAACTATTCAAGAAAACTTTAGAATTTTATAACTAAATAAGGTTTGTTTACTGAGGATTCAGTTAGTTTAAGGAGAATACTAATGATTATTATTTATTATTATTATTAATGGCTTTATTCAATGATAAAGAAAGATATTCAATTGGTTATTAATCAGTCCTAAGAACAAACTTTCTTTTGAACGACTACATTTATTCAAGCTGTACAATAGTAGAGTGCTATATGTATTTATTTAAATACATCCGTATAGCTTAAGGGAACAATATTTCTTAAAGAAATGATCTTCTTTGCGGAATGATATAATAGTCTTAATTCTCTGTTTAAAATTATTCATCAGAAAGTTTCTTTGGTCTTAGTTTCATAAATGAAGTTATATTGTATCAAATCATTTCAATAGAAATCGCCATATTTGATTTGGCGATGAATTATCAGACAATAGTCATAGGAAAAATCTAAAGTTATTTCTTGAAGGTAGTCTTATATCACTATGAAAATTCTGAGAATATTTTGATAATCACTCATTTTTGAAGGTACTTGACTTTCAAAAACTTTTAAAAAACTGTCTGTCATAAAAGTTGAAAACTAGTCTCTAACCGAACAATATATTATATTATAATTTAAAAGAATTAATACAGACTCTAGAGAATTCTCACCTCTCTGGCATGAGAGATAATGATGAACAATATTATCTCAGTTTATTACAACTTGTTGTCCACTTGTCTAATATTAAAGTTTTACTGTATATTTAGTAATTGTAATGTGTTATAATTTGATTTGATAAAACGTTTGCTCTTGTTCACTTTATTTGTTTCCCTTCATCATTAAACGTAGCTGAGTTATTGTGTTGACCATTGTACCCTTTAATGATTCACATTTTAACTACAAATAATTTCTTTGACATATGCATATATGTATATATATATATAATAATTATTATTTACGTTTGTATGTTTGTTTAAATGCATCATTCCGTTTTAATTCCTCCTACTCCGCTCACAAATGAATTCGTTATATTATCGGCATGTAGAGATGAAGAGCAGTAAGTTAATGATTATTCTTACCGTACAAAAGCATTTCGAATGTTAATTTTTGCAAAGAACACTTGGAATAAAAGAGATAATTATATATCTTTGTATATCTCTCTATGCCTTACATATATGTATAATCCTTGAAAACACACATATAACTGTCCGTTAAGAATCTCTGTAATGCACGTTAAATATAATGCTTATCAATTGATTAAATCATTCTACATCGCTAAGATTAATTTTCCAACTATTATTAGTTATACATGTATTTGAGCAATTAAAACAAAAGTGAATACACTGTTCAATGGAAAATATTGTGATTTCTTATTGAACTTAAACAATGTGCATGTTTTTTTTACAATGCATGTTCCCATTTTTTGAAGGAAAATCACTGCATGACTTATTTGCTGTCTTCACACAATCGCTAGTATAAGGAATCTTTTGAATTGGTAATAATCTTTTGATCCTAGATGCACATATTTTTGGGGTCATGTGGTACAACAGTATCATAAACTAGATATTAGTTGTTAATGATACTTGAAAAATGTTGAATAGATATGAAAATCCCTGTGCTGACCAGTAAATAATAAAGTTATTTTGTATTTCATTATCTACTTGACATCTTGAAGAAGAAAAGATAATCATAATATATATTCTGAAAATAATATTTACAGAATTCACACCAGTTTACAGGCATGATCAGATTGTTATAAAAATCAACATTTAATGTAGAGAACAAACATGAATTATAAGAAAGTTTTATGTTTGCTGGTTTAGTAATTGATAAACAGTTTAAATATGGCATATATCACGGCAAGCCAATGCAACACCAGGGAACTTGTCATTTTTTCTTAAGTGGATAGCCTGATGTTCTGTAAGGTTATTTCTAGTGCCAAAGTGAGTTATTGATAATTATCTACAACTAGAGAAAGTAAGATTAAAGCAAAGAGCACGGAACAACAAAACAATGATAGCAAGTAAGAGGTTAAACATTTAAAGTTCCGATAATCTCACTTGTGGAGTAAGATACACTTACAGGCGCTAGAGCATTTAATGAATTTTCAGAGTAGCAAAAGGCATTAATTGAGCGAACAAACAATGGGAGAGAGTTTAACATACAGATAGTTTGAGGTAAATTATTCCAGAGCATAGAAAACTTACAGACAAAGTAATTCATATAGAGAGAAGATCTAGAATATGTTTGTTTGGCTAAAGACAAGGAGTTACAAATGTCGTAATGTGAGGCTTTAGCAATATTGAATCGCCTGGCTGGATGTAAAGAAGAGTTTGTTAAGTATTTTGAAAAAGATATATCTCATATCTTATCTAATTTAAATCTAAGCATTAGAAATAATTATGGGCTAGACTACACTTCTTTTTTTTTATGTGTCCCAATAAGTAATATTTAAGAGAAATATTACTCAATAAAATCATTGACTATTAATTTGATCCTTGAGATAAGGTTCTAGCTCTTCTTTTAATATCGTTAAGATAATTATGATCAATTATTTGGTAGTTTAGATTAATTTATAACCAATAATACTAGTTCATAATATTTTCAATCTTCAATTCCTCTTAGCGTTCACTCTTTTACCATAAATTTTATGAAGATTGATAAATTAAGTTAATATCCATTTATTTCAATTATTGAGTTGTTCAAATCTTCATCATTTATTTATTTTTATTGTTTAATGAAAATATGCTTTATATACAAAGCAATTTGATTCAGAATATTATGAACATATTTACTACAACAATATTCTAGGTTTTATCTATTTTTATGTTGGTTTGTTCTCTGAGCTGGATGGTTTGGTCGTGGAGCTTTCATCGTCCAAACTTCGGGTAGACTTCTACCCGAAGTTTGTGCTGATGATGTCGTTCAGAAGGACGATGAAAGCTCCACGACCAAACCATCCAGCTCAGAGAACAAACCAACATAAAAATCACCCACCTGAGCTACAAATCTTCTCCACCATCTCAAAATCATACGAGCGTAGGTTTTATCTATTTACTTTAATTGATAATATATCGATTATATAATTATGTTAAACAATGTGGTTTTTAGTTGTTTAGCAAGTGTTATACACTTTTGAGAAAATTACTAATATTCATTCTAATTCAAAGATCTTATTCTTTTAATAAATTAATGAAATAGCATGTTGCATGAGATTATTATTATTATTTTGTAAGATTTAATCTATTTGTCAATATTCAAACAAATAATTATATAATTATCAGAAGGGGATTTTAGGGAGATTTAAGTAATTTTATATAGTTGAAATCATGAGTGAATTGAAGCTAGACTACCATGGAAAACCTGGAAGTACTGGACGGCCGTTTTGTCCTATTGTAAGATTATATAAAATTACTAAAGTCACCACAAAACCTCCTTCTGATAATGATCATAAACTCACTAGTGACTGGCTCCATCAGGTATTTTCTGGAGTTCTAGTAAGAAGCAGTAACCAGTGGAGTTCAACCAGGTCTGTTGAGAGATATCAACTTACTGAAGACATTGATGAATGGTTGCTCAATGTCGTGGGTTGGTTGAAGTTAGACGTTAACACTGTTGGATGCTGGCTCAGTGGTCTATCAGTTAAGTGTTCGCACGCGAGGCTGGTAGATTCTGAGTACGAATCTCTCGAGGTGGGATCGTGGATGTGCACTAATGAGGAGTTCCAGAATAAGACGAGTTGGCCGTCCAGTGCTTCCAAGTTTTCCATGGTGATTTAGCTTCAATTGACTCATGATCTCAACTATATAAAATTATATGATTAATGAAATACCATTAACTTTCATTTACTTCTTAATGGGGGATTTATTTGGGAATTTAATGTGAAATACTTTATTATGACTTTATATTTGTTGACCAACTAATTTACTAGATAAATTCAATTACTAGAAGGGGGGTTTTGTGGAGATTTTATTAATTTTATATAGGACGGAACAGCCATCCAGTGCTTTCAGGTTTTCCATGGCGGTCTAGCTTCAATGGACTCATGATTTCAACTATATAAAATTCAATTGAAAGTAGCTATTCTTAACTGAATTTAATTATAAATTATTTGTTAACTTATCTTGTACATTATTGTCAATAAGTTAATCATAAAAAACAAAACAAATTCAATTGTGAATGCGCACTATTGAGGAGTGCCACAATAGGACGTAACGGTCATCCAGTGCTTCCAGGTTTTCCATGGTGGTCTAGCTTCAATTGACTCATGATCTCAACCATTGAAAATTCAAATATCTTCATTTATATTGAGATATAAATGAATAATATTCACAAAAATTGTATGCTTAATAAATAAAGTAGTCTATTCTCTAAGCAAAGATGGATAGTGGTTAGCAGTGGAATCCAGGACTCGCGTTTCGTGCTATTTGGGACTCGTCAGCTGGATGTACATGCATCTCAGACTTGATGTTCACTCTGGGACTCTAACCCAGTAGAGACTGACCAGTTGCAGTCCTAAACATCAATGAAAAGATTCAAACAAACAATACTAAGTGAATTTAATCTATTCTCTAATTACAATATTATTTTACCTAAAGAAAAAAAAATTAAATTTCCATATGAATTCTGTTTCCTGTGCTAATATTTTAATTCTTTCTATAAATCTTAACATTCTATGCATGTGATATATATTGTGAAAGGGATACAAATGCAACTCATTTGTACTATGCAACCATCTACATTATTTCTATCTACTTTTATACCAAATTAAACAACATACTGACTATTAACAAGATTCATATTTAAATTAAGGAGTATAACCATGAAATTTAATAAATACACTATGCATTTAAAGTATATAACGTCTAAAACCAAAGTAGATTGGTTAACAAACATCACATAGAACTGATTTCTTTTATGAAACATTGATGATGTACTTATATATATATATATGTATCATTCACAATTTGATGATCTATCCCGTTTCTAATATTTCTTTTTTTTATTATTTTAGTGAGGATGGTAAATCTGAAGCGAAAATTCGTATGGAAGTAAGTCATAAAATCTTTGTTGAAAAATAACAAATTAATATACGGTAATTACTTATCTATTTGTTTTTTGTTTAGATGGAAGCCAAGCGTAGAAAAGAGAGAGCTGAAGAGGAATGGAGAGAATATGAAGAGTTTCGTAGAGGTGAACGCGAAAAAGAAGAAGAAGAGATACGTCAATTAAGAGAGCGTCGAGTATGTTTGTTTTTTTGATTAACTAGTATCTTTTTTATAAAAGTGATGAAATTTATAGTTTACATCCGAGATTGACCTTAATTAGATAATCATTAGAAACCAGAAGCAACTGAACAGCTGTTTCATCCTAATGTGATACTCGCAAGCGGTGCAATCAACAATCACACTAGGGATAGAAACCAGGACATTTAGATTTTGTAAAACCTATCTTTTACAACATAGAGTTGGTATCCAATGTTTGACATGTTCAACTATTATTTTCTGTTTCATTTATATAATAAGATGTATCAAAAATGATTGATGCAGTTAGAACAAAGTCAGAATCATAGACCTAATTTTTAATTTGTCATAAGCTTGGTCTGATTCTATGAGTTAGATAATTATGGATTAGGTCTAGCAATGAATACTATGGATTAGAATGCTTCAAGAAAAAATCAAAACAGCTGTAGGCACTTATCTTCTCACTGATAAAAAATCATGTCTTGTTAAATCATGAATAAAGCAATCGACACAGAAAATAAACAAATGACATCATCCTGTTGTTTACATCTAATCTAAGAACATTGAAAGATGTATAATTCAGTGCTAAATTATTAGGTTTTAAGAAAACGATCAGGATTGAATACTTAGAACCAAAATTTTGCTTATTGCGCTTCAGTAACAGATTAGTATAATCAGAAAATTAAACTTAATTAAAGAAGCCGTTTTAGCCAAAAATGAACGAACGTGGAAAACAAAACAGTGTCTAATTCAGTATTCGTATAAGTAGTAGGTAAACTGCACTCATTGTTTCAATGTTACCAATTAATAGTGAAGTTCATTAGACCGGATTGAAAATAACAATCTGAAAACATTTACATTATATTTTGCTTAAATCTACCATCCATCATATAACTTTACAGTCAGATCTGACAATTAAATTATTTGTATAGATTCTGTTCTGTTATAGTTTATCTTGCTTCATTTATAGTACCAGGATTGATTTTTAAATGCTTAAATTTATATCGTACACTTTTGGATTGTTACTGAAATAATTATGAACTTTCATACAAAATATTTAAGGAACGACGTAAAATGGAACGTGAAGAAGAAGAAAAACGATTAGCTGAATTACGTCAGATAGAAGATCAAAAAAGACGAGCAGAAGAAGTAAGTTTATTTTTTCATTTCTATTGCCATGATAGTGAACTGTCATCCAATGAGTTAGTATAGTTTGTACATTCACTCCGATATGTCAATTATGAAATAGTTTTCGTAAGTTCAAGTTTAATAGGGAAAAATTAGTATATCTCATATTGTACAATAAACAATTTACTTTCGAAGTTATAAGATGATGAATAGATAATCAGTTTATGGATGGTAGAAAAGAACTACATAATTCCAGATAAATATCATTCTCATAGATCTTTTTCCTATCAACAAAACAATGAATCTTAGACAGATCGTAAATCGAGCATAACTAAAAACATTTAATATTTCCAGCTTTCATCATATTGTAGCATAAGTATGACTTCTATGATACGATCGATTATGGTTTATTCAGGATGTAATTCAGTAGTCTTCTATTTTGTTAACTGTTTTTATTGTCTAAATAACCATATGATAATTTTATTAATAAAACTAGCGTCTCTTATTATTGTGTTTTGATTATTGACTTTGATCACTGGAAACTAAATGATTTCAAAGCTTTTATTAGTCAGTTTATTTCTCTTCTTTTGAGTGTATTGACTATTACTTAGTTTGGTCATCATAAATAATTGAAGACGAATGACCACTTAAATGGCTATTCTGTATGTAAAAGTAATACAGCCGAGCAAATATAGAACAGTTATGGGAAAAAGTTTACATGTGTGATGTACAGATCGACAACCAATATAAATGCTAACCAATGAAATTCATATCTCAATAAGCCACAGAGTATTATACAACAAATCCTGGCCCATGATTATAAAGAAATATTGTTTAGGAAGAATGTCACAATCAGTAAAACTGGACTGCAACCGAAAGTGGAATCTAAGACATACGTTTAGTTGTATTGTAGTGAACGGGAGCACCAGTGAGGGCAACGAAATGTATTTCAACACAAAATTACACAATGTCTTAGTAAAATCTGAGAACCATACAATAAATACTTTATTTGCAAAATATCAATCAATCGTCTCAGATTTGATTATTCCTTCGTTTCCGCACCAATCATTCACTGTTCTCGTTCTCTTTTCTTCACTCTTCTTAACCTTCTGTCTCCAGTCATTTCACTTTCGATTGATGATATATAATACCTATATCTGTTGGCATCAGTAGTACACACCACAGTATTTTGAATTTGTCAGTTGGATGTCAAATTTTAAGTAGCCTAAAACTGTAATAAATAATTGATCAAATGATTTATTCCAATTTATTCGACAGAATAATTTATCCAGTAAAGTTCTACTGACTACATCGTAGCATAAAACCAAAATCTGGAGTAAATACGAAAATCAACTACATCATGTAACTCATAAGTACATATTCATATTCGAGGTCGCCAAGTATCAGGCTATAATGTTTAATATCACGCTTTCAACTATGATAAATACTAAATCTCCACAAAACCCCTTCTATAATATAAAAATGTTATAATGAATTTAACATGTAAAGATCATGCTTTACGTTTGAAAAAAATATCAAAGGTAATAGTGAATGATAATGTGAACATGACTTATTCTGTTTTCAAAAAAGAAATAAATTAATATAGATCAGAGCATGGTGATTTGTAACCAAACAAGGACACAAGCAAGGCATTCATGTACGTACACACACACACATGTACACAAGTATCCTTCTATAGAACATTACACCTACGTGAACCTAATATGCACAATTTTTGTGACATATATATATATGGAAAGAAAATAAGGTAGATAAAAATAAAAAACGAATTTCTTTAAAATAGGTTGAACAATTGATGATTGTAAAACGGGGAAAAAGGTAATCAATTTTGCTTTTTTTATGGAATGATAATGATAATACAAAAAAAATTGGTAAAAATCTAGTGACTTACTGTTTCTTTTTTCAACCTAGTTTCAAGGATGAAAAGTTTTTCAATGTAATATGACACGGAAAAATTGATTGTTTCTATTTCGTTATCACTCATCTTGTTTAACTGAGGATTACATTTTTTACTACATTTTTGGTTGTCTGTTTTAATAGGAAGAAAGACAAAGAAAGAAACGTGAGGAAGAACAACGTAAACGTGAAGAACGTGAACGTAAAAAGAAAGAATGGGAAGAGCGTAAAAATGCTAATCGACCTAATTTCGTTATTACAAAGAAGGAACAAGGTGTAAGTCGAGCGGTTATTTATAAGGATTTTAGTACAGTGATGGCTGGATAATAAAAGTAGTCATTCAATCAATGGTTTCAGTTCCTCATTATGTACATAAATTTAGTCTCATGGTATTATTATCATCCATTCTATAAACAGTGTTGCCTAAGACTGTGTATATTAACTTGTACTTTGCACATGTGACGTCTTATGTTATTTATATCAGAACCTGCAACCAAGTGCGATGATTTCAATTACTTCACCTTAGAGAGTTACATAAAGTAGTAGAAAATTTTTAAATGGATTTAGGTATATGCTACTTATGTTGGCAGACACAAGTAGTATGTAATACCAATCGGAAGTGGAAAACCTAGTAGCAGAAGGTTGAGAATATCAAGTTGATGAGAATAGAAAGGAATTGTAAACTTGAAGAAGCATACAGAACGTAAAAGACAAATTATGGAAATTTGTAAATGTAGTATTCAGTGTATGGTTCTTATGTTTTAACAAGACACCATTAATTCCGAACATCCCATTTACCATGACTAAGTGACTTATATTCATTTAAAACATAATCTAGGTAGTCAATTCGTTAAAAGTCTACCAACCTATGTTGTTGTAATTTACGTAAGTTGAACAATTTATCATCTACTGAAGGATATTACCTCAATGAATAAAAACGGAATTTCCCTGAATCCAGGGATATTGTGTTTTATCTGGGCCCAATGAGGCTTGGTATTGTTATGCCAAGATTTAATGATAGTCTACTGACCATGGTTTGTAATAATGTTAAGACAAGTAAAGATATACGACTGTTCTTTTATGTTTTCTCTGAAGTTATTTGGACTGTTGGTGAGAACTAATTACCTGAAGATTTTAAAAACCGTAATTTTTTATTCTGAAATTACTTATCCTCTTTTCACATTAGCAGTTTTGACGTTTATGATCACAATCACTTTGAATTGTTGACTGGATCGTCCAAAAACGATATTCTTTCAATTAGATCTGTAAAATACATTGGTATCACGGATTTATGCTTCTGTGTTAAGTTTGTTAACTTGACTAGTATATAAGAAAGCTAGCTGACTAATTCCGAGTTTGACTTTATATTGTCGATAATTTTGTTGTGTTTTACGGAAATAAAGGAACTGTCTGAAAGCCTTGAAGTCTGAAATATTGACGATACTAAGAAATAAAAGACAGTTTTCAAATGTGGGTAATATTTTCATGTCATAATGTGCAATTTATTCGACACAGGAATTGAGAAGTAAATATTAAGCAACAGTCCATCCTATTGGAGGCTTGTTCCACTGGGATTACACAATCAGTTTATTAAACCAAAATGAGTAAATCATTTCAAAATCTCCTCCGCTATTTATTTTGTTTCTCCAGATTTTAGTTGAGTCGTTGAGAATATGTTTCAACTAAACTTTATAGAGTTCATTAAAATGCCGATATTAAGTAATTTTTCGGCAACTTCAAATAGTTTTTTATATCTCCTACTGTACTCCAGAATCTTGTTTAAGTGATTATTCAAGGAACAGATAAACGGAAACCAAAGTCATTGGAATTTAGTTTTTTAGTTGAAGTAGTGAATTTAATAATTCTGTTATGATTTATCACAGTAGGACAACTGTAATGAACGAAGACTTCGTGGGTATAATCAACTGATCAACTGATGCAAAATTACAGAGTTCTTTTGTAAAATGTGAAAACAATACATTAACTACTTTATTCTCAAAACTTCAATCAATTTTCCTTTACATCCTTCATGATTCTTCCACTTCTCAATTCTTTTATGTCCCACTTCCTGTTTTTTCAGCTTAATCTTATTAACCTTCTTTTAATAGGCATTTCATATCTGATTGGTGTTATATACTACTTATACCTGTCAACATAAATAGCAAGCACCACACATCTAATTAGCTAAGGACATATTTCTAGTACTGTTTCGCTTGAAATTATACGTTTATAGATAATCAGTAGAGCTTTTTTTTTTGATAAATATCAAACATTTTCCCGATTTTATCCATAAATCTTCTCCTTAAGACTGAGGAATTATTCATTCTTTGTTCTGTTTACATTTGAATTCTTTAGTTCTTAAATTAAATAAACATGCCAAGAAAAACACTGGTCAAAATAAACATTTCTATCATACTACTAATTATATTCTTTTCAATAGTTTTTAAATACACTACTTAATACTTATGTTGATCTTGATGAAATGTTTAATAGAAATTTAATCCATTTCTATTAACATAATTTTAGGCACAAGAAACGGAAGAAGAGAAAAAGGAAGAAGTTACAAAATCAAAAGAGCAATTGGAAGCTGAAAAACGTGCTATTTTAGAACAACGTATACAACCATTGAATATTAGTGGTTTTAATGCTGATCAATTAAAGAATAAAGCTAAAGAATTACACGATCTTATTTGTCGATTAGAGGGTGATATTTATGATTTATCACAACGTTTTACAAGACAAAGTTATGATGTAATTCGATGTTTGTTTGTTTGTTTTCATAAATAGTACTAAACAACTTACTTATAATTTGTTTACAAGTTGATGAATGTAGGTCATATTTTACATAGTTCCTTATTATTCCTCCAGTTGGTATGTTATGCCATTTTCACTTCATATAGATCATTTATAAGAAAAACATGACAGGACTGATTTAAATTTGTGACCTTTACTGAAGATTAATTTCTTATTCATACACATCTAATAATTGCGAATATACTCGAAATACTTCCAAAATTTACTGATAATTACAGTTATTACTTTAACATCTTGAAAAATTTCAGCTTTTCAGTGATCTTTAATAAAGGTATCAATGTTCACTGTTAAGACTGTTATATTAAGTCGATGTTAGAGTTTTGCTAAATTGGACACTCCCCTAAAAACACCTCAACTTATGAGTACAATTGGCAAATGAAGTATTTGATTAAATTTTCATTTATTGTTTTTTGTTTAGATGCAAGAACTGGCAGAACGTGCACGTCAAATAAACAAAGGGTAAATTATGCTTCTATTAAGTGTACTTGATAATTTTTACAATTTCATTACTTTTAGTACTGAATTGCGTAGAATTTAAGTGATCCGACTGATTTCATTGTTAATACTAAGTTTCTACCTAAATAAAATGAATTAGTATGACATATATTACAACTGTAAACCAATTGCAGTCCTAAACATCAATGGAAAGATTCAAGCAAACAATACCAAGTGAATTTAAACTTCCACCCCATTGCACAAGCAAGTGGCTATCAGGACTCAGTGGCTGAGTGGATAACACGATGGCATTTGAAGTAAAAGATAGTGGGTTTGAGTCTCAGAGTGAACGTCATCTCTGAGATGCAGGTACATCCAGCTGACGATTCCCAAACAGGACGAAACGCGCGTCCTGGATTCTACTGCTAACCACTATCCATCTTTGCTTACAATAAACCAGTTAGTTTACATTATGTGAGACAACTTTAAGTTTTTCATGTCTTACTGCTTACCAGTCTTTTGTTTCGATAATCGAATTGTTTCAGCTTTCTAAAGTACGCTAAGTTATTCCTATTATTCATTAATCCATATTGATTCATTCACCCTAAGTTTCCAATCATTTTATTCTTCAGTGGTTTTATATGGATAATATCCGAATTTATATAAATACATATATATTCAGAAGGGTTTTTATGGAGATTTAGTATTTTCATAGTTGAAAGCGTGAATCAATTGAAGCTAGATCACCAGGGAAAACCTGGAAACACTGGACGGCCGTTTCGTCCTATTATGGGACTCTACAGCAGTAGGTAGGTCCTGACTTCGAATCTCGCGAGGCGAGGTTTTGGATGCGCACTGCTGAGGAGTCCCATGGTAGGACGAAACGGCCGTCCAGTGTTTCCAGATTTTTCCTGGTGGTCTAGCTTTAATTGACTCACGCTTTTGACATAAATATTCACCAAAAGTTCTTCTGAATTATTTGTCTTGGTAGATTATACTATTTTATATTTTGCTAAGTACCAGTGGTTTATTATCACTTTGATCCATGTACTTTGCTTTACAGTTTTGAGATGATACATTTACCTGGATCATAGACAAAAAATTCTATCCTGAATGTTACTTACAGATAGTTTTAATACTTCTAATCCTATTTTTAGGCTTTAATAAAATTAATCATTTAAAAAAAATAGAAATCTGGTCTAAAATAGACTTGGACTATAATTTTCGCGGTTAGTAGTATTTTATGTCAGAATTATATTTTTATATTATTTACAAATATTGTGACATGTATTTTTAAAATTTTATAGAGGTAAAGCAAAAGCTATCACTAATGCACCGGATCCATTAGCGGCTAAATTCAGCGGTATTCCTGTAAGTTTTAAATATATTTCTATTTTTATCATCATAATAATCTTCAATCTATATTATCATTTAAATACTATTTGATTTTTTCTGTTTTAAACATCATCTTCTAGCCTATGGTTGTCATGTACAGTCAATATGAACGAGTGAAAGATCCTAGATCATTCAAAGATCGACGTACTGTCTTTACAGGTGCTAATTATGCAGAAGAATATCAACGTATTGCACCTTCACACATGTTGGTTATGACAGATGAAGGCTTCCAAATAGCTGGAGCCGCTGAAGGTGGAGGACATTCGGCTGCTTCTGCACCTGGAACTGAAGTTCCTGTTGAATAAATAATTCTATGAACATTAATTATAGTAATGCTGCTATCATTGTTATTGTCACCAGGATATATACCATCAATTATTTCTGATTCTTTTGCATTTCTCTATCTCGTTCTATTTGTGTTTCTTCTTTTTGTTTGTTTCGATATCACCACATTCATTAAAATGTTCTGAGTTTTTATTTTTATTATGTTACTGAAAAAAGAAATTCACTTATTATCCTCAATGCTTTTAAACAAAACAAATTACGCTACCGCTTTCCTGTCTTACTGATATCATTGATAGTATGTTATCATTCACTCCCTCTTTCTATGTTTCCTCTTCTTCTTCTTCTCCTTGTCTTCATGGATTCCGAAAAATTGTCATTAATTATTAAGTCACCTAAATTACCACTGATTCATTAAAACACCAAATATCTAAATATCACAACAGAAACTATAAATAAAACTACCCTTATCTTTATTAGACTGTGTAGTTTCTTATTGCTATTATTATTATTATCATTATTACCATTATTATGACTCCCTCTTTTATGTTGAATAATTTACTTTAAGTAATAAATGGGAACATTCTATTCTACTGGAATTTTTAGAGTATAAATTTATTATTTAAATGTCTAAGACCTAGTAATGAAAACCAAACAGTTCGTTTGTTTTACGCATAGAATCTCACCAAAGGGATTGGTTTAATGTTGTATTAAGTTGATGGAATGAACTTCTGAATAATTCATACTTGAAACAAAAAAATGTGTCTAATGCTTCATGGTTTGTAAGGGTTCTGTAGTGAATAGAAATCAAAGTGTGATAAAAAGTTGTTTTTTGTTGGATCATTTCATCAGAAACTAGATTACAGACAATCGGCCACTGTTACCGTGTTTCCATAAGATATCTTCAAATTTTGATGGGAAGAAATACTATATTGTATACTTGAATGAAGAGTGTGTTACGAAAATATCTGGAGTTATAAAGAGGTACCCATCAATATTTTTAATATTCGAAACGATTTTTCCTTTGTAAAGTCAATCCGATATTGTTTGTTGACGGATAACTCACAAGGAACGCTAGGACTAGATCTTTGTATTAGATGGGACTTTTCAACGAGGGATATCCTTGGTGAAAGAATGATCAATATGGGTTTCTACTACATATAACCCACAGTTATTGTCAGATTTGATACTACCAAAAATCAGGAACTTAAATTTCGATCTCTCTTAGTTTGACTCAATAAGCTTTATTTAAATTAAGAATTTGAGATGGTGGAGAAGATTTATAGCTCAGGTGGATGATTTTGATGGAGTTTTGTTCTTTGAGCTGGAAGGTTTGCTCGTGAAGCTTTCATCGTCCTTCTGGACGACACGAAACTCATAAACGTCACTTCTACCCCGAAGTTCGTGTTGATGATGTCGTTCATAAGGACGATGAAAGCTCCACAACCAAACCATCCAGCTTAGAGAACAAAACTCCATCAAAATTAAGAATTACTAAATTATATCTTATTAAGCTAGATAATTTATGCATGATAATTGATTCTCTAAACAAAGTGTTTTCTAGAATTAGTAAAATTATAATATTATAGTCTCTGAAAAGTGATACATTTACATTTACATGTACAATTAATGCAAAAATTAATTAAAATATCGTTTGTACAGTTGAATTGTGGTTTATGCTACTTATGTGAACATAAGTAGTATAAAACACAAATCGGAAGTGGAAGAAGGTTGAGAAGATCGAATCGAAGAGAACAGGAACAGAGAGTAATTCTTATGGTGGTAAAGGAAAAATGAAGTTTAACGTAATTAATGGAAGATTTGCAAATAAAGTACTGAACGTATCGTTTTCACATTTTACCAAAGAACTCTGTAATTTTGTATTAAAATAAATTGATTTCCTCTCACCTGCATCCTCGTTCCAAGTTTGGGCTTGCTTCGTGATGCAGTTTGGTGATTTCCTCAATGTATGTCCCATCCACTTCCAACTTCATTTCCTAATTTCTCACCCAGCTGGAAGCCGTAATGTTCTCTTCCATAAAAGGCTGTTGCTGACGATATCCGGCCAACGGAAATTCAATATCTTGTAAACTCTGAAGATATATACTTACAGATGTGGACTACAATTGTGAATGGATTGTAAATTAACTTTAACGTGATATAAGTATTTGGATCAAGTGATATAGTCGGGTGAGAATTAAAGCTGATAAATAAACTACAATTCTATGGACCACTGAATAGTTCATAAAATTCCTATCCTACAACTATTTACATTCTAAACTAAGTTTGATCAGATTTATCTTACTTAATATTATGTATTTAAACGGTGTCGATTTGTTTAAAAAACCACTCTATTTGATGGCCAGTGACTTTAACTTTATGAAAGTATTCAGTCTCTTGTAACCTGTAAGCTACCTATTTTTTTAATAGGAAACGTAGGCATAATATGAAGCTCAAAGGTGATTCAAGAGCTAGAAATTCAGGAACATGTGTTGGGATTGACTAACATCAGTATTTTTATAATTGTTGAATTTACTACAACAAAATTTATTTCTATCACCCTTCATACATTACTATTATTGTAACATTTCATGAACAAGTATTCTTGTAATAACCCCCTTAGGAAGTTACATTTTTTGACTTCTTACTCGAGTGCAATTACCATCATTGAAGTATTGTTTTGCACGATCCATTGATTTGTCTAGTCATGTTAAATCCAATATAATATGTGAATTATTTTCCATCACCGTTTTGTGTACTTCGGCTTCCATAAATTGTAACAGTATGTTAACCGCTGAATAAGATGTTTCACTTTATCCCTTAAAGAAAGAAAAATAGGGATAAAATTGTCATCACATCGAATTTTAATTTTTTTTCTCCCTAATAAACGTAACACATACTGGACAACAAAAGTCAAATCATTATGAGACTCTGTTCTTAAAATCGTTCAGGTGACCGAGATGATGGTGAGGACAATCAAATTTAATATTTGTGTCATAAACAGTTTATCGATACAGACCACTTTTAAAATCTGCTTGGGAATACAATTCAGAGTATAAGCGCTACATAAGTTGAAGGATGGCAAAGATTTCACTGAAATGTACTGCATCTAACAAAAATGTATATTAAACGATTACGAAGAAAACCAGTTTAGAATGATTTTGTGATACATCTAAGAGGGTAATATGTATATCTTTCAGCAGTCGGTACAACTGATTGGTGAAACAGTCCTATAGAATTAAATTAATAAAGGTACAATATATTCATAATAATTGTATCTCAAAGAGTTCGTGTGTAGGGTGAGTAAGATTCTAGATATCGTACCTTGTTACAACTAACGGTAAATATATTTTATAAATAAATGTAAGGTTAACTTAGGATGGCTAATCACACTTATATGGGTCGGAACTTGAGATTCGGTACAAAAACCAACATTCCAAATTCATACAAAACTCAAAGATACTTGATTTAATGAGAACAACTTTATATTTTATACACTTAACTATTCTGACATGAGTATACTAAATCTTCTAGAAACCACCATATTTATGCAAATAGACCATTTATTCTGATTCAAATGTCATCTCAAATCTAATGAGAATTAGAATTAAAAAGTGATATGTGGGTGATATCTAAACTAATCTAGTATTCAATTAATTCGGAAACATTCGTTAGATGTTTAGGTTATTAGCATAGTGAAGACTAAGTGATGTTGTGACTAACAGAAAATTATATGCAAGTGAAATATCAGTTTCTGTTCGATTTTCTTCAGAAATGGTTTACGGAATATTTTTCAAGTTTATTATCAGCTAACTACACGTACACTACGAGTATTTATTAACAAACTACAGTTTTCGACGCCTTAACATCAGTAAGACATCAGAGGTTGAAGCCCTAATTAATGAAAAATAAATATGCTGATAGGTCTAAAAGTTATTTCATTGACAAAATTTTTCTCCAGAGTTTGTAATTCAACACGTTGCATTAATCCTAACTTATCTTCGACCGCTTTAAGTAATATATTATGAAAGAATAGTAAACTAAGTAGTTCACTATTTTATCACATCACAGTTTGGTGCAGTAAATGATTCAGTTAAATATTCATTCAGTTTGTCAAACAGTTGGGAATAAATTATTTAACTGGTTGAAAAGTTTATACCCTAGTGGAAAATAGGATTAATGAATAATCGAGATATACGTACAACGTATAAAAGACCTACCTATATTTACCTGATAGAAAAATTGATCCAAATATTTCTACTTAACAAATTCAATAAATTATCGTCGACTTTGTGAATGTTAGCTAATTTATCAAAGTGCAGCGGTCTACTGATATAACAAAAGTAGCATATATATGCTTTTTTGTAATTTTAAACGAAAGACTAGTCCTGCATATTTTTTAAAATAAAGTAGATCGACTAAATGAAAATATTTCACCAATTGTCTTCAGTGAGTTGTTATCTCACAACAGACGTGGATGAACTCCACTGGTTACTGCTTCTCACTAGAACCCCGGGACATATATCTTGAATCTCGAATATCGCGAGGCGAGATCGTGTATGTGCACTGCTGAGGAGTCCCAAAGTAGAACGAAAAGGCCGTCTTGTGCTTCCAGGTTTTCCATGGTGGTCTACCTTCAATTGACTCATGATTTCAACTATGAACATACTGAAATCTCCACAAAACCCCTTCTGACTTCATCATTTATCTTACGAGGCATGATTTTTTTACTTGAATCAACCTCATACATAGTCAATCTTCCAAAGTCATGATGTCATGTTTCCACATACTAAAGTTCAGTGATATGTCAAGAGTGAGTTCATAACTAACTTTGAAAGGAATCTTTCTTCGATAAAATGTGGATAAATACAATTTGAATAACATTACCAATAAATATTTCTTATAAACTTTTTAATAATGAACAGAAAATTACTCAACATACTCAAGGTATTTTCATGTCAGATAAGCATGCTTTAAGGTGAAGAACTTTTTAAATGGGAAGAAAGAGATTGTTGTGGGTTGCAGGGTATAAAAAACCTAACACGAATACTTAATACAATAATTAAACAGAATCTTTTTTTTGTAGACATACATTTATCAACCAAGTTTTCACTATGTATAAACATACATACATTCACACATTCATATTTGTTCATTTAGTGGGAAGTGAAATAAAGAAAAATGGGTGGGATAGGTAGTAGATGATGAAAATCAAGTATTTAACGTACTTGGGAATGAATGCTGGAGATGGTTGTGGGCTAATGGTAGTAATAATAAAAGTAGATAGACGATGAACAGTTGTTAACTAGCAGTAAGTGTGACAGGAGATCAACAACATTTTGTTTATTAATAAATAACTATGTTAAAATAAATACATGGTAAGCATTGCCAAAAAAAGGGCAAATCAATTGATTTCTTCCATATATTTCAACCTCCTAACAAATAAACATACTAAGCAATACGGGGTAATTGTAAGCGACCTGATACTTTCTTATAGGTTCCAACCTATTTCATCTAATATCGTAGTCACCAATAATACCACGAAGCTCTTCATTTGATGGAAACTTATTAGCAATAGGGACCAGATATTTCCTC